TTCCAGTATTTTCCAGTGGTGGCTTCTTTTTCTGGGAAGATGGATGTCACTGGAAATAGATGGAAGTCACTGGAAATGGATGGGGAATAAGAGGAAACAAAAAGAATCAATGAGCTTTGTTTGAGAGGAACCTGCTGGTTTCCATTTGTGAATCTTCCCCTGTTGTCACTGGAAATATTAGCATTTGGGTGGACAAGAGGAGTTTTGTTTGGTAGATCTTACTAAAGCATGGCATCAGCCCCATCCGGGGTCAATATTGCCATCTACACCCGACTTGGGGAACAAACAAATCTGTCACACCAATAATTTCGTAAAATTTTTGGGGGTCTTCGAATGAAAGGTTTGGCTTCAGAGTTTTGGTCTGCTTTGAGTCGTGCGCAAAGGGCGGTCAGCTTTTCAAAAACCGGGTGCTTTGCACATGACCCGGGTTTTTCTGCACCAATCCTTGGCGCACGGAGGAGTTGTTGAAGGTTCCGCGGGATGCTGCTTCGGCTTTTGCTGGAAGGATGGTTTGTAGCTTTGTTGTTTGTCTTTCTGTCACTAAGTCACGGGGTGGTCGAAGACACAACTCCAACCAGAAAAAGTGCCTCAAACTGATGTCTTACCATGACTTTTCGGTCTACTCCTTTAACGGGGGGTTGGTTGTCTGCAGGAAGCTGAGAGTTTGTTTCCTTTTGTTGTGCGCTGCACATGGCAGAAAGAAAATCGGGAGTCAACCTCTGTCAAAACAAATTATGTTCTGCAAAGAGTTGGCAGGGTGCTAACTCGCTCGGTCTTAAATCTGTTCATGTTTTTGTTTTGCGCTCGCTCTCTCTCTCTCTCTCTCTGTCTCTGTCTCACTGTCTCCATCTCTCTCTCTCTCTCTTTCTCTATCTACCTACCTAACTATCTATCTGTTTATCTATTTATCTATGCATTCTATCTAGTTAAATATTTCCAGTATGATCATCATCTGCTCTAACCAGCTTTGAATCTGATTGAACCTAACCTATTCTAGCCTATCTGCTTGCCATGTCTTATCTCATCTTACAATACCCTATCCTGCCATGTCGGATCCTACTCTATCCTACCATGTCCTATCCTATCCCGTCTCGGTGCTGTGTTTGTGACCGTATCTGTGTCTGCGGCCTCTCTGTCTCCCGCCTCCCTCACTCCCTACAGTAGCTCCTGCTTGCGGCTTCGATTCCATGACTCTCGTGCCCGCAAGTTTGTTTCGGATCCTCTCCTGTGACAGGACAAGGAGGAGGTGCCAGAGTTTCACTGGGAAGATGACGCGTGTCCTTACAGCTCTGAACTCAGGGCTCCTCATATTCTTGCGGGTGCTCTAAAACTTAAAGCGTCTGAAGGGGAGCTCTACACGTTTTCAGGTCAGAGTCTAGAGCTAGGGCCGGGACACCCTGCCTGCCTGAAAGTAATGGGAACCCAGGAAAGCACTAGGGATGAATATGTCGGGCTCACTTCCTGACTTCTTAGACTTTCTCCTTTTTGATTGAACAAAGGAAGCATGACCCAGGAACAACTCAACGCCTGGTCGATCTTGATCGGGTGAAGCATCCAATTTCGGACCGAGATCATCACTTGGGGGAACACCCCCTAGTGCTCCACAAGGTTTATACAGCCGGGTTGGCCTTAGACAGGCTGCATCTGCATCTTAGGGCTTGAAGTGGCATCTTGAAAGTGTAGGGGCCTCGAGTTGTTCCAGCCCGCTGCTTTTCCGACCTTCCGTGTTGGTTTCGACTATACAGGTTGGGGGTTTTCGGACAGGTTGGGGGTTGAAGGGGCCAGGCCCAAAATTTTAAATCGCTGCATCTGTTGACCTGCTTTTTAACCAGCTTGGGGGTTGATCACCAGGTTAGGTGGATCTCCCTGTTGATCACCCTTAGGTTTTCAGGTTGATCTCCCTTGATCTCCCTGGGTGGATCGCCCTTCGGATCTCCGACGGTTTTCCCCAAAGCCTTTGGACCACGGGCCGCCTAGGCGCTGACTTCTGGGAGTTCAGTCAACCTGAAGAGCCAGAGGTGGATCCCAAGGCCAGAGCTGGATCCGCCGAGTCCATCTCTGGGGCAAAGAGAAAGACAAGACCGGTGGTGGGCGGGGCATCTTCGGGGAGAGTTCCTTATCTTGTGGGGGAGAGAAAGAAAAAAGCAGGTGTTCGGCATTTTCGGGTCGCCATGGGTCTCTTGGACGCAAACCACTTGTGCCTTTGGTTGGAAGACTGCAAGAATTGAATTGGGGAGGGGGCCTTGATCTTCTCCGCTGTTCGTGCTGGGTTCGAGAAAGGACCCCCGACCTCAAAAAGGCGTCCAAGGGTGTAAGATTCAAAGGGACAAGTGCAATGGAGAAAAATGGGGTGATCTGGACCCGGATCTCCCAAAGACGACTAGAGGATTGATGTCACCCACTGACATCCATAGTGCAGCTTGCAGGTGTGCCCAATCTTCACTGGACCCAGACCACTCATCCATAGACTGGGCTGCGCCTCGTCCTTCTCGAGCGAGTCTGGGGCCAGGACTTGATCGACGTCCTCTTCCTGCGCAAGCCCTGAGATCTCTTTCGGGCGAAGCGCAAAAAAGCGGGAGCGATTTTCTCATCTCCGATCCCTCAAAGTGAGAGGCTGTTGCCCCCATGAACATTTGGATCGACTACTAAACCGGTCTTCCACATTGCGGTGACTGTTCGCGCTGTTCGTGTTTGGGGGCAGGCTCCAAGTCATTTCCCTCTGCTTTTCCGAAAAGGGTCTTCTCAAAAAGTAATGCGCCCAATCAACCCCACAGGACACCGACTCAAACAAGGACATGGGGCACAAAGGGGCCCCTGGGCCAGGCCCTTCAAAGGGGTCAGTTGTGTGGGTACCCTTGAGTCCGAGCACCCGGGCGGAGTTGCTCCCACGCGATTCTTGCAGGAATGGCCTACCGGGACATCTACAGGGCATTTGACCAACAAACATCTGCACGTTGTTCTGCAGGCGTGAAGGCCTTGCAGCTGGTGTCCGGCAGGTTGGGGTCTCTCGTTTCCCCTCACAGACTGGGGCCAATAACGATGTCCACTAAGGGCCTCGAATTAAAATGGCTGTGGGTCAAAACCAATGGTACCATTTTGGGGTAGGTGCACCACCCATGTTAGTCTATTTTAGTGGGGATTGGGATGTTCACTAGGGGTACGGGCTTTTGACCCATGGCCAAATGGGCCCAGTTGAGAAGGTTTTTCGGGCTGGCGCGCTTTGGGCAGATCTGGCAGTGTGGCGCCAACCCTCCTTGCTGCAAGAAGCGCGGGGCCCAATGCTGGTCTAGCCTTTGCGGGTTTGATTTACATCCAAATCGTTGGGTCCAGATGTATTTGACACATGCCAGTATCCAAAAGCAGTGGGTTAGGTGGACTTGGGTTCCAAAGCTCTTTGTCTTTCTTTTTGTTTGGCAGGGATACGGATCCCTGAACATGTCTGTTTTCAATGTGGTTTCCCTTACCCGCAAAGAGTTCCTTGTTGGGAAGTTGGAGTTTGCATTGATCCCAAGGGCTGGTTCCAGGGGAACACCAAAATCGGGTTGTTTTTCATGAGACTTCGAGGGGAACTTAATGATGTTTGGGGCAAGGCACAGGCCTTTTGGAGTCACCTACAGAAATATAGGCAACTATATGGGTGAGTCTCAATCTCGGGAAACCTCCTTGGATGGTGTTCAAGGGAAGCCAACAAGAAAGCTGCTTTTTCTCGGATAGCCTCTAGAGACGCGCCCAATACCTCGAAACGCAAAGCAACTTTCAGCTCAACGAGCAGATTCCGGAATCGGAAAAGGACTCCCAGTGGAAAAGCTGAGGCTCAGGGCGGGGAATACTCTGCCGGAATGGACTCAAGTTGCCTTTTTGGGGAAGTTTCGCCAGAATCGCGGGAACATGTGCGCCGAACAAACAATGCAAGAATCATCCTAGAATGGCCGAAGGGCTAAAACAATGCCTGAAAGGCAATAATGATACCGTTTTTTTTTTCAGCACTGGCATCATTTTGGGGTATTTAGATGTTAATAGGTGATATAGCTCTTGCGACATCGGAGCTGTTGGAAATCCGAGCCTGGTACAAGTCTCGCTCCTTGAGAGTCACTTTTGGGTTTGGACCGTGTTGGCAGACAAGAGTTTGGGCATCACTCAGGAAGTGGGAGGTCTGTTCACCAAAGCACCCGAGAAGCCCAAAAAACCGCCCAAATATCAAGAGCGCGTTCCCGGGCTTTGCCTGGGCCGAGCGTTTTGCTTGGCTTTGAGATTTGCCAATAGGTCCCCCGGCAAGAGGAATATGGGCAAGGGACGACTTTTCGTGTTGCGTAGAAAGGTGGGCGGGAGGGTCAGGGTGGTGGTGTTGCTTGCGTGTACTATATTAATAAAGGAACGAAATACTTCCACAAATGATTCTTTCCATGATACATGGCTCAATTCGGCCTGAATGTCAACCCCATTCCAATTATATATTTACACGTTTTTGGGAGGGTCCCCGTTTCAGCTTTTGAAACTGAAAGGAACCTGAAAGTTGAACCACCGGCCTCGAGGGCCTCACGCCAGCATGCTGCTGAGGACCTGGAGAGCGCCTCTGGACTTCAAGTTCGCTGTGAACACCAGGCGCGAGAGCCATCTGCACACCCCATGGCCTCGACCATTTGGTTCCCCAGAAGAATGCTGGGCGAATGTCGCGTGCGGGTCTGTCTCAAAAAAAAAGGACCCAAAAATGAATGGTTGTATTTTGTGTTTTCCTGCAAAACCATCAAAATAGGGGTACCAACTCCAAAGAATGACACCCCCATGTGACCTTGGCTTCTCTGGGATAGCGACGTCACAAACCCCTGGTGTCTTGACAGAGTGAAGCTTCCTTCCATACATGTCCGATGGTATTTCCAATGAACATTTTGACAAAATGCCCAGTTTCCATGTTCGTCTGTGGCCAGTTTCCACGTCGCTACCCTCTTTGGGTTCGTTCTAAAAGGAAACGATCTGTGGCATCCCCATGCGCGCCATCAAGGTGTCCAGTGGTCTAAAGTCAATCTGGGGTGCAGGCAAGACTAAATTTACATCACGACGCAAGGAGCACTCTTTTTTTTTCTTTCTCCTGTGCTTAGGATTGCACATGTGGGAACATGGAGGAGATGGATGGTTCTTGCTTGGGCAAATTCAAGTGGGTCTTCCAAGAAAGTATTGGACAACGTCAACCGGATCTTTCAACTTCAACTGAAAAAAACAACTTCAAGTGGATCTGTCAACTTCAACTGGGTTTTGAACGCCGATTCTTACTTTTGAACGCCGATTTGAGTCAACTTGGGCCATCTCGGGCCAGTCCACCAAGTAATTGCAATTCGGGTCAAGCCCATTCGGAACACGACAGCCGATCCATTCGAATGAAACACCCTGGTACAGGGCTGTACCTAAATGTCAAGAACCCAGAGGCCCCAAACAAAAGCTGCGGTTAAGAACTGTCGACTTCTTTGTTTGCGACTCCTTAAGCCATGGCAGAATTTGAGGCAGTGAAACTTCCCCTTGGCTCAGGACATCGGTGGTTTTAGGTTGCCACTTCCTACATGATATCTTTGTGATTAGACTGGGCTGTTCAATGGCCATCCGCATGGCTCCCCTTTGTAGTGGCTTTCCGGATGCTGGATAAGGATTGGCCAACACTCCATTTTGAACAGCCAGGAAAGATAGTCCCCGTATATGAGGTGATAAGTTCGCGAGAATCAACCACCTGGCTATCGCAACCATTTTCCATTTCGCAGGACCATGCGAGCGCCGCACAAGGCCTCCAGCCACTTGGAGCGGTTGGGGCTTGTATCAACACATCCGGATTTTGCTCAGCCCCTGAGTTCCTGGACACGAGCCAGGAACTCTGTGGGGCCACTCAAGAAGTGAGATTGTCAGGCAGGGACACCCGGTCTTTTGGTTGGACGTTTGGATTTTGGTGTTTCTTTTCAGACCTACCCATTAAGATTCTGTGAAGCTGAGCTCCCAATGCGTTCACTTCTCCAAGAGCATATTACGTCTCGCCCTTTGAACGGTGCGCTAGGAAGCCAATCTACATCGTCAGAAACATCAGAAGCCCATGGTACCATCAGAATATGCGTGTTGGAACAGGCGTCTTTTGCGGCAAAATGCGCCCCGAATCGGCCGCCCGAGGTGTGAAGGTGCCAGCCGTTTTCCGATTCGACCGGATGGGAGGTACAGGTTGATGTGTTTTGTGTTGCGTACTTGCAATATTTAGTGAATCAATCGTAGCAAAGGGAATGAACACTGGGTTTGCTCACGAGTCCCATGTGGCTATGAGTTAAGATCATTGTCAACAATACCCTCTTTCCAACAATCATTGAAGCTGACATGGAGATATTGAAGACTATACCTTCCTTTTGGGGAAGCACTTTGTACCTGTGTGGGGACAGAGGGTATGCCCCCAATGTAATTCAACGCCCACGTCAGTTCACAGAGTCTTCCTTGGAAGTGATATGCACACGTGCTTTGGCCAAATCCCGAGACCTCGTTTGTTTGTTTCGAACTCCCGAACTGCATTGCAGTTCACGTTTGTGGAACATTGGGATGTATGTTGACACTTGTTGTATTTCAAAGCGTCCAAGGGAATACCCAGAATTTGCTTATTCTCCTCAAGTAGGCATGAGGATGGGAATCCTAAACGGCTTGACAAAAAGAGTCAAACATTTTGAAATGTAGCGGTTGCAGCTTTGAATGCCCAGCAAGAAGGTATGAGCGTGTTGGCTGTATGTGTGTTGGCTGAATTTGGAAGGCTCATTCCACAGGCGTAGTCTTGCATGAGGCCTGATGCTATCCGCGTCTTGTGCCCAATGCCAATCAGCTCGGCTCAGATCAGCTTGGCGCAGATCAGCTTTACTGGCTCGATTCATCTGACACTGGCATCAATACGAGGCGACATGCAGACGAGACCAACAACGTTCACTTGGCTCTGCATCCCCGTGTTTCCTTGATCCAAGTGCTCTTCCTGGGGAACCTACTCGAAAGCTCATTCCGACGGAGTGCGAAAAACCCGCGCGGCACCAAAGGGCTCTGAGCCTTGGGGAGCACAAAGGGCCCCGAGGGGCGAGATGGACTTCATCTCTTCTGCGACAGAGGCGGGTCGCGAGTCGCGGGTAGGCTGAAATCTGGGTGTGTCGGATCTTCCTTGGGTGGGGGTCCCCTTCGAAATCGGACTTTGTGTTGCCCATGATGTTGGACTCCTTTAGGAATGGGGGTCCTCTATTGTAGCAAGTTGTTTTGCGTAATTCAGCATCCTGAGACTGTTTTGGGGTCCTCTACTGCTCCGCAAAACAAGTCCCACAACAAGTACAGGGATCTTTGTTTAACTCTCCTCTGGTCGGGCTCATCCTAAGCTTTTCCCAGCTCAAAGGTTAAAGGCTGAGATCTAGGAAACCCATTTTACAAGTTTTCCCCAAACCATCAAATATAAGGTAACATATTTACACAAGGGTATCAATCAATCGCACAAAGGCCAAAAGGCCCTGATCCTCTTTATATAATGTGCTTGTTTTGGGTTCCTCGTTAGTGTCCAACTGTTTTGGGGGTTACTGAAATTCGCCTTTTATTTGTCAAGGGTGGC